GGTGTGCCCAGGGGTGTGCTCGGGTGTCCCCAGGTGAGTTCAGGTGAGTCATGGGCTGCCCAGGTGTGCCCAGGGGTGTGCTCAGGTGTCCCCAGGTGAGTTCAGGTGAATCCAGCTGTGCCCAGGTGTGCCCAGGGGTGTGCTCAGGTGTCCCCAGGTGAGTTCAGGTGAGACCAGATGTGCCCAGGGGTGTGCTCAGGTGTCCCCAGGTGAGTTCAGGTGAATCCAGCTGTGCCCAGGTGTGTCCAGGTGTGTGCCCAGGTGAGTTCAGGTGAGACCAGATGTGCCCAGGGGTGCCCAGGGGTGTGCTCAGGTGTCCCCAGGTGAGTTCAGGTGAGACCAGATGTGCCCAGGTGTGTCCAGGTGTGTGCCCAGGTGAGTCCAGGTGTGCCCAGGTGTGTCCAGGTGTGTGCCCAGGTGTCCCCCAGTGAGTTCAGGTGAGACCAGGTGTAGCCAGGTGTCCCCAGGTGAGTCCAGGGTTGCCCAGGTGTGCCCAGGGGTGTGCTCAGGTGTCCCCAGCTGTGCCCAGGTGAGTCCAGGTGAGTCCAAGTGTGCCCAGATGAGTCCAGGTGTGTCCCCAGGTATGCCCATGTGTGCCCAGGTGTCCCCAGGTGTGTCCAGATGAGTCCCCAGGTGAGTCCAGGTGTCCCCAAGTGAGTCCAGGTGTCCCCAAGTGAGTCCAGGTGTCCCCAGCTGTGCCCAGGTGTCCCCACGTGAGTCCAGCTGTGCCCAGGGGTGTGCCCAGGTGTCCCCAGGTGAGTTCAGGTGAGTCCAGGTGTGCCCAGGTGTCCCCAGGTGTGCCCAGGTGTCCCCAGGAACACCTGGCAGCTCGTGGGGCACCGTTTTTGTGCGGCTGGAGGGAGCCCGGGTGGTTTTGGGTGAGGTTTGGGGGGTCCTGGACAGCGCAGGGGTCGCGTTTTGGGGCGTCCCAGGCTCCAGGTTTGCTCTTTTGGGGGGTCCCGGAGCTGGGGTTGGGATTTGGGGGGGTCCTGGGCCCGTTTTGGGGCGTCCCTGGGGCCGGGACCCCGCGGTGACGCCCCCCGTTCCGCAGTGGGCGCGTGACGAGTTCGAGGGGCTCT